GAAAAGTCGCTAGATGTTGTGATATGCTCATTTGCATATTCATTATGCAACTACATATACATTCTTAAAAAATAGTGGAAAAATAAGTGAAGCCAAACTTAAGACTCATCTCATCAATAAGCATCTAAATTTACTTCCAGTTTGAAATCCACAGACTGTGGAACTGAGGTGTTGAGAATAAAGAGGAATAAACTGTTAAACTCAGAGGATTTGGGACAAAATAAAAAGGTAAATACTCAAGTTTAATCACTGAGAACAGACACAAACGAGAGGGAATCACCTGGACAAACAATAGACATCAGTGATTGGCTGTTTCTTGTTTCTGTCTGGCTGCTGATTGGTCGACGGAACGTGCTGCTGCAACCCCTCTCCCCCAACCCTGCACCCTTTCCTCTGCCTGCTGCCTGACGGGTTGGTCTGCTTTCCTGGTATTAGAAACCAATGAGTGGAGTTTGGGAGGGACATTAGGAAATGACCTACACTTGAGCAGCTCGAGCCTCAGTTTACTCCACTGGCTCCCAAGCCTTCATCCTCATCCACACACTGCATTCTGTCACCATCTGCCCCTCTGAGTGACTTCATACGAACTCTGCTTCCTGTTACACTTTGTAACCACTTACCTGGTTTCACCTTCTACCTATTACCTGCCCTGTCACATTTAGTTTCACCTGTTCCTTATTACCTTTGCCTCCTTTGTATAGCTCAATGTCTGTGTTCCCCTCATCTTCTTGTTTGCCCTTTAGTTGATGTCTCAGTATTTTCTACTGTTTGGTCTCCTGTTTCGTTGGATCTCTGTGTTTTAGACTGTGAATTATTTCAGTTCTTCAGATTTGTTTTGTACTTGCTGTGCTTTTCTGGTCTTAGTCTCCTTACTTGTTGGCTTTCTTTGGATCTGTGCATTTTTAAAGTCTTTACTCTCTACCTGCCTGTAAACCCTGGACACTCTGTTACATAAAGTAATTGCTATCTATCTATCTGCCCACCTGTCTGTCTGTCCATCCCGTTTCCTTGCAAACGTGACACATTCATTACTGACCTACAGTATCTGACAAAATAATTATATTTGTTTTACCTCAAGTTTACAATAAATGTAATTTGTTTAAACATCATTCATGAGTCATTTCCTTCTGGGCCAGTTCATGAAGAAGCAGCAGAAGCAAAATGAATCAACCACTTGTTTGATTTAGTGCAAATTCTGTTGCACAATTGCAACAAAATATAGCAAACTGCTCTCTGCATGGGGTGATGCATAGTTTGACTAAATAGAAAATAGTCTAAAATTGGAAACATTGCTAATTTAGATCAGGAAGTAACTGATCAAAGTCAACAATCTGACCAAACATCTGATTGCCACTTTTTATACGAGACACTTTTCACTGTTCAGATCTGTGGGAACATTTTGATCGGTACTGATGAGGATCTGATCCAGCTCCAGTGTTTATAGATACTGTACGTCTGCACTCTGTCAGTTGAATCTACACATTGTCAGTATCTACTGTACGTGCATCAGACATTTAACTGCTCATGATGCTTTGTCAGGACAAACACTGTCAGTTCCTGCTACTACATTTTTAATGGCAGCTACAACAGAATTTATTTTAAAGGTGTTGTAATTCTTTGTTAAAATTAATCGAGAAGACATAATGTAAAATGTGAGCCCATATTTACGCTACAATAAAAGTTGTATATTTTCTTCATATGCTGCAGGCAGACTCGGCACAGATCAGTCAGTCCAATCAATATAGGCAACGAACTCTTCTAACATTCACTGAACACCATCATCACAACACAACAGGGACAAATATTTCCTTAATGTTGCTAAAACAAGAGATGTGAGCTACGGACATTCAAACAGATACTGTCACAGAACAGGTTTACCTCCATGCAGCAGTCTCCGATGATCTCTGGCACGATGCCGTAGAAGGCCAGCTCCTCGTCGAAGGCCTGGATGCACTCGTTTCTCGGGTAGTGGAGCTTCCCAGTGCGGTAAAAGTTCAGAATGTGTCGGAACATTTCAGGGTCCCTGTCAAAGAAGTACTCCTGCGTGTCCTCATTGTAGAAAAACTCCTTCTCTGAGGAACCCAGCAGCGTGTCAGGGTAACGGTCCAGAGTGTTCTTCCACGTCTGGACAAGTGGAACAAAGAGAAATCAAACACATGTTTCTGATCCAGCAGCGACAGGACCATCATGGACATCCACCAGAGAAGAAGATATTTAACTCTCCCCTTAAAGACTGTTGGCTGAATGCACAACAACAAGCCACTAAAGGGCAACAGCTACAGATATAAAAGACGCAATACAGATGATCCCACTGTTTGTTGTTTTAGTCACAATTTTGTAAATGAATCTTTTTCAATAGAAATAGAACAGATGGAAACTTTTCACACACATTAATAACACAAACACAAGTTCCATTTGAAGGATTACTGCATGTTGGGAGTGTTGAACCGTCACCAGCTGATGCTAACAGTGACGTAGCGCCTGTTTTATGCCTCATGTCATTGTTTTATAGTCTATTTTTAAAGCATTATTGTATGTTTCTGTTTTTTCTCCTAGACCTTCCAGCTGCTGCGTGTTTGTTTTTAAAAAATCAGGATAAAGTCACAGACCTGACAGGAACTTTTTCTTTGTGCTGCCACCACAGCAGAAAGTGCAGAAGAAAGCCACCAAATCTATTTTTGTTCTACAGCCATTTTGTTATTATTTCTGCCCAGATGCACATCAGTGCGCTGATTAGACGCACACTGTTTACAACCCGCAGCTGCTGAAGCTGGAGCATCATGACCCTCTGTAGTTCTGGATCTAACAGTCAGACGTCAGTTGATCAGAGACTAACACATTCTGCTTTATTAAAAAAGGCAACAGTACAAGACTGTCTCAATAACAATGTCAAGAGTCAACTACAAGTCCCAGAGAGCATTGCTGTGAGAGACAGCCAATCAGAGAGCTTCAGATTCTGTTGCAGGGCAGCTAAAGCAAAGATACTCTACAACACAGGATGGCGCCTTACAAGAAGGTTCAATGGTAATGATTGGTATACACTTCCTGTATCCTAAGTGGGCGTGGTCATGATTGCTTGTTCATGTCAAAGCATAACAACAATACAACACTAGATACAGTATGAATTTACGCCTGATCTTGGTGCTCGTTTTTACCTGTTTGCTTCTATCTGATCAAATCAGTACAAGGTCATATCAGTTTAATAATATTCTGAATTGAATCTTGGTCTGCAAAATGCCATTTGAATGCCAGAATGTTTGGAAGATCGGTGGCTTGTGAAAAATGGATCCAGTATTTTTTGGGGGCGAAAGAATCAGTCATAATCTGTGATCATGTTCACTTCTCCCACTGGAGTGAACAGACTCAGACCTGCTGCTGGTCTCCTAAAGGGGCAGGGTGGTGGAGAAACCCATGTATTTAGAAGTCTCGTCACACTTCACACTGAATGATAAAAGTCTGCAAGGAAAAAGCACTAAATCTCTGCATGAAATCTCCCTGTACATATGAGAGTGTTTATCAAATGTGTGCGTCTTGTTCTGCTGAGCTCTGTTACATAAAGTAATCAACATCTATTTGCAAAACCCTGCAGCTTTAATTTAGGATTATCTGTTGTGAAAAAATTAAACAGCTAAGAAACAAAGAGGCAGACAAACATCACAGATGAGATTCGGGTTGTTAAATATGTTGAATATAGCAGAGGTGAAGAAAAAACTCTTCGACCTTAAAATCACAGTGAATTGCAAAAAGAGACGTGGACACAGAATCACCTCACTGTCAGAGATGATGAGACATTATTAGACAGACGTCGCCTGTCATGATTATTTTTATATTGTTGCACTTCAACATGAACCAGCTCAGTTCATCTAATGCAAATGAAACATTAAAGCCACTAAAATCTCACAGCTTTAAATTCATGCAGAATGATTGCAAATGAGGTCCATTAACAGATCCTCAGTATCTGCGCTGCATATACAACATGAAAGACATCAAAGGCAGGGGGTCGATGTTAATTTAACACAACTATGTTTCACCCTGAGAGATGACGTTCTTGTTCTCGGAGTAAAAGGAGGAGCCTTCAGCTGCTCATTATAAATGAAGCTGAGCGGCTGTTCCAACAGTGAACATGTTGAACCACAGCTGACAATCAGTTATCCATGTTAATATCGTTCACGGTAATGTTGAAGCGTTCTGGACACTTGTCGACCTCTGAGAGTCGGTTTCAAATCTACACACACTCACAAAGACAGACTTTGACGTCTAAATTCATCCGATGCAGAAAGCAGTTTAGGTCTTGACTATCTTAATCCAGACTGTGGTACAATGAATTCTGGGTAAATAAAGACTGGCTCCAACGGCTGAGCTCCATTTACGCCAGCAGAAAATGTTTGTCTTTAGGAAGAATTCAACAGTTACAAGGACGTTTTACTTTGGAAATTCAGCGAAGAGTGAAACAATAAAAATAAAATTTGATTTAGAAAAAAATCTCTGTAGTCTCTAACAACTCTTTCCCTTCTCTTTGCTGTCTCCATAACAATGCTAGCAAACAACAAATTATGAGCCATGTTTTCTGTTTCTTGTTGTCAGGTGCTACTGGTCAGTGCAGGTGTCATTGATTGTTACCATGGTAACACTGGTCTTAGGCTTGAGTTAGTTTGGGGGTAAGGTGTCTGTCAGTCTCTTTTTTTGTGAAACAGTCTGACTTGCATTAGACTAATCTGTGAGCAAAATTAAGACCCGACCAACACAGACCAGTCTGAAATATCTCTGTGAAACCGACCCATGAGCAGCTGATGAATCCTACTATAGAGCGTACACACTGAGGGTGACAAATCAGATCTCTGATTGGTCAGGAAGCAGCCCAGCATGCTTAGGCTTACACTCATGTTGTACAAATCTGCAACGAGCATGAGGCAGAGGGACCTTTATGTTGTGAGGTGGAAAGATAAGATAAAATTAGATAAATGTACTTTTAAATTATCAGTGTTGCTTCATCACATTTATCTCCAAACATGGTTAAAAGCATCTTTACAAGCCTGAGGTTAGGGTGTGGAGGTCAGGTGGTGTTTGGGTGTGTAGCTGGAGACATTTTCTATAACCACACTCTGAACCGTAACCACATTGTGGTTTTAAAAACGTTGGCACTGAGTGAAACTGTCCTCCCAAGAAGAAAAACAACTGTGATGAAAAATGACTTTCTTCCTCTCCACTTCACAGTCAACCTCCCTCCTGCATCGCTACTAAAGGTCAACACTCCAGCAACACTTGTGTAACAACTTTGTTGCATCTATCTCACAATAAAAGGAGAGAATCAGTGAGGATGTAGAGGTCAGGGTGTCTGGATGCAGACCCCCCGCTCCCGGATGGTAGTCAGACACTAACGTCTCTACATAAAAGTCAAAGACTACTTAATGCACTGGCACTAAACATCAGCAATGAATGTAAATCAGGAGGTGCAGCCTTGTCCAGTATGAATGTAATTCCGAAGGACACTGGGCTGGGAAGGATGGTAGAAGATTTGGAGCATGCTCAGCAGACGGCAGCACCCACCTGAAACCTGACCCCGCTGACATTGACGTACAGGATCTCATCTGATCTGGACGAGTTGTCCACTGGAGGTTTGGGCATCGTCTTCTTGGCCAGCGGCAGCCAGCCCACCGCTGCCGCCCGCGCAAACGGCAGCCAGGTCGCCACGCCAGCCGCCATCTTGCATCAGAGCGTCCCACCTGTAGAGAGTTGAGTTCTGTCCTCTGGGGAAGGAGGAGCTAACGGATCCCAGGTAAGAGCCTCAACTAATAATTGTCGCTCACTTCTTCACCTGCCCTGATTTCCTCGAGCGCTCGGGGCAGCGAGAGAGGAAGTGGTCGGACATGTTGAGGGGGGAGGAAGGGGAGAGGAGGAGGATGAGGAGGAGCAGAGGGAGGGGTCAGATGACCGTTAGGTGTCAAGCCATGAAAGGAACACTGAGAAGGAGCGGGAAAACATCTGACAGGTATGTGTTCCGTCTTTTACTTTGAGGAGGTTGGGACGTCCTTCTATTAGATGGGGACAGAGACTTCCTGTTGCTTTCCAAAATAAAAGCTAGAATCTCTCAGAAAAGAGCTGAAATATTCCTGTTTTGAATATTTTTCTGATTCAGCTGTTGTTGTGTGGTTCTTTTAGTAAATAACAAGACATTCTGGCTCAAAATAACGAGTCTTGATTGAAAAACATCTCAGCAGGAGAAAATCTGTAAAACAATAAAAGTTTTTTTTTCTGATGTTGCTGCCTCAGGTTTATTGCCTCTGAGATTCACAACAACAAAAAGCAAAAAGACAAAGATCCAGGCAGGAAAGTGTTAAAGCATCTGTGTCTGGCCTCGACCTCGCTGCTTTCTCTCTCTCTCTCTGTTTGAGTCTAGCTCTCTCACCCGCCCTCTCTCCCTCTGAAGACAGATTTGTTGCAGCGCCGCAGCCTTTCAAATTCTTATTAAATTGTGATGATGGTCCCTGAAGTTGCAAGATAGACAGAATTGCCGGCCTCCCTCTAAGTGTTTCTCTGCTGTGGAGATTATGGATCTGCAGCCTCTTCCTCTCTTTCTCTTTCTGCTTTTGCTTGCTGTTTTGTCCTCTCTACTTTTTTTTTTATCTGTCTCTCTGTCTTTTACTGTCTCTCTCTTTCTCTCTCTTGTTGAAGTCAGCGGGGCATTAGTGGTGGTGGTGGTGGTGGTGGAGAGACACTGGCTTTGTTTTTGAGGAGCGAGGAGGAGGCGTCAGACGGTTCTTACTCCATGTCCATGTAAGGCTGTCCTGTCAGAAAACACACAAACAGAAAAGAGACAGAGAGTGAGAGACAAAGCAGGAGGAGAGGAGAGGAGAGGAGAAAGAAGATATGAAGTTGTTGAGGGAAATGAGAGAAAAGGGGGAGAGGGGAGACATGGGAGGAAAAATAGAAGGTAAATATAAGACATGAGGAAAGAAGTGAAAGGAGGAAATGTGGGAAAAATGTGAGCAAATGTGAACTAGAGAAGAAAGAACAGAAAGATGAGGGGAGGGGGAGAGGAGAGGAGATCTGAATATGTTGAGGGAAAAGAGATAGGGGGAAAGGGGGAGAAAGGAGATGTGGGAGGAAAATAGAGGGTGAAGTGGAGAGAATAGGATGGGAAGACTTTGGTGTTTGGGGGCGGGAGGGTGATAATGAGAGGAAAGGAAGAAACTGAAGAGAGAATGAAACAAGAAAAGGGAGAAAAAAGAGGAGGAGCCAGTAAAGAAGGTATGGAAAGCAACAAGACCTACTTAATGGATCAATCAGTTTTATATTCATCAACAAATCCATTGTTCAGACTCCAAAAGTGTATTAGTCCATCTCTCAACACTTCCTGTCTGTGGCTCTCAGCTGTGAGCTCATTGGTTCAAACTGAAAACTAATGTCTCACCAAACTAGTTTCATCTTAAGCTGCTAGTTTTTAATCAAACAAGAGGGAATAGTGACTTTGTTGGGAATTATTTTCAGCGGCAGATTAATCTACATTTTGTGCTGTAGTTAGTGTTTGGAGCAGCAGAACGGTGTGTGACATGAAGTCTAAATAAACTGCAGTGTGTGTTCATGGTGATGAAGGAACATGTGACCCAGTGAGACTCACTGATGTATTTTAAAAGTTTGTGGAAACAGAGGCGCTCTGAAGCTCAGGGGAATCAGATACATCACAGGGCATGTTAGTAGGAGATGTTCAGGGTTGGTTTGGATGTGAATATGTGGTTTGATGACAAGAGGAAAAGTTCTACTTTAACCTTCAAAGCTACTTTTAAAGGATGCTGAGACAGGATCTGTGTAGGTATAAAACTTAAGACTTATATAATACATACTACATAATTTCACAGCAGAACACTGAACAGTGTGTAAACAGCTTCATGTTTGTTCTCTAACAAGGTGACTGTCTGTGTCAAGGTTAAGGTTCAGTGTTGCAATGAACCGAAAGGAAGGAAATCAGTCTAAAAACTGATGGATGGAAAATTGCCCAATAGTGGATTCAAATTTACATAATTTGGGGTAAATGGGCCAATTAATGAAAACACTGCTAAATGGTCCATTACACAGAAGACTGACAAACTTTCCAAGCAGAAAAGAGGACAAAAACTAAATACACAGGAACCTGAGGACATGATGAGAGTTAGCAGAGTTATATTCAAGGGCGTTTTAGATTTTCAGGTCTAAGAAAAAGTAATTTAATCTGTAGTTTTAGTTAGTTAATATTCTTATTAAAAGACTCTTGAAAAGAACGTCAATAAAAAAATAAGGCTGCGCAACACAGGTACAAAGACAACATCATCAAATGAGTTAGTTATTTATTACTCTTATCCTTGTCTTCCTTTATTATAGTCATTATTTTATTATTACCACCATTTTTACATTATTATTATTTTATTATTTGTCATCTCTATCAAGGACATTTTAATTATGGTTAGCGCATTAACGATACAACTGAGGTTGACATAACACTTTGGAGGTTTTTTAAAATTTATTTGAAATGTATTTATTTGTTTTGTTATGGAAGACAACCATTTTCCCCCAGTTTCTTATTTGCTTGATTGATTTAAATATAACTAATACAAATTAAAATATATCCATTATATTTTACCTGAAAAATAAACATGAATAGGAAGAGGAAGTATATATATATATATATATATATATATATATAAAATTATATATAATCTTGATTTCACCTCCACCCCATCTGAAACCAAACCCACACTCTTTGTTATATTCATGATTTACTCACAGTTACATGGTGTTTTAAATACAGGATGTCATCACAGGAGCAGAGGATTTAAAATAAGCTTTTATAATTACATCAAAATGACTTTAGTGTTTCCTTCTTCCTGCTTCTATGTGTTAACTGAACATATAGAAAACTGACATTAGATGTTAATGCACAAAACCTTAGAAACATCTGAAAACCTGAGAATATACAGTTGGTCATATCTGGTGTTCATTGATCCTCTCCTTCCTCGTCCCCCGACAGACGCAGCTCAACTCGTGTGTTTAAGATGAAGATATAAAGCTGCAGGTTATTAAAGATGTTTTTATGATCAGGCGTTAGGAGCGTCATCAGCCTGCTGAGGAAAAACACAGCCGTCCGTCTTGCTCTTTATTTCTCCCTCTGCGTTCTTCATTCAATAAGGCAGCCACAATAAAGTTTCCTGTGAAGCTGCTCTTTGTCAGATGAAAAGTTATTGTCGTGGGTTTATTGCATAAAGTCCACAGTGGGAGCAATAAAACTTTTCCCTGCTCAGGTTTGGTTTGAATATAAGACTCATGTCTGAAGATTAACTTCTTCAGCTCCAAGATCGTCATCATCACCGGCTCCATCTCATTTGAGAACTTTATTTCAGATTCTAGAGGCGATCTTTCAGAAAAAAATCTGCCAGGATGAATTTGTTTTCATTCTGTTCATCTAATACAGCTGCTACTAGAAGTACATTAATTACCACTGCAAATATTTGATATGGCCAGAGGCTTTTGGACATTGGTGGTGTCCACATATTTTTGTGGTTTATATTCCATAACTACACAACAAAAACTATAAAAAGATAAAAAAAAATAAAAAAGATTTTAAAATAAAGGCCTTCAATTCTATTCAATGAGAACTGGACACAAGTGGCTACAGGAAGTTGCCCCCCTACAGCTTCCTGTGTAGTCTGCATAACTGGTAAGATATTTAGTTTGTTTTTTTTTTTTTCCCCTAATTTGAGCTGGTGGAAAAGTAGATGTTGAACAGAAGAGGCCCCAGAAGGGAGCCTTGGGGAACTCCACAGGTAATTTTTCAATGTTCTGATGTGTAATTACGGATCAACACAGAGTCCTTCAAACAGGATATAGTGTAAGTAAATAATTTTTACCTACAGTAAAAATTATACTATACCTCCACTAAATATTATAGTATGATTATTTTGGTTTAATAAACCAAACTTAACTAAACCAAGAATTTCCTCAATGAAACGGTCACATAAAACATCTTCACAAACACACGGCAAATTTATGGGTGTTCATGTAAAGACTGTTCACGTCAAAGTTCAACACACACACACACACACACACACACACACACCTTCCTGTACTGCCTCAGTTAAATCTCTAGTGTGTGTGTTGTTGAATTATGAATGAAACTTTCAGCCTGACTGGTTTAGTTCAGCTGCACTGCATCAGTTACCACTAAACACATACAATCCACCACAACAGACACATATATGTATGAACACACACACATGCAAACAAATACAAACACACAGCCTCACCCTCCCTGCTGTTGGAACTGCAGTTTTTTATAAGAGAGCTTTTACATTAAGACACAGCAGGAACCCCCACCCCCACCACACCCCCACACACACACTATACTGTTCAACCATGCTGCAATGTTCCATTTTATTTCTGTATGTTACAGTGGCCGTGAAGTGGAAATCACTAGATAAAAGTTTATCATTCACAGCTGCTGTAGGTGTCAAGTCATAACTGTCAGATGAAGAGATTTACTAGCAGTAATAAGAGCAGCAGCAGTAGTGGTGGTCATTTTAGTAGTGTATATTAATAGTTTTAGTCCTGATTGTCCCTCTGAGTCTCAGTCCTGTCCTCAGTCTGCCCGTCCTCTCTGTGGGAATCCCTGCTGACATCATGAGCAGACATTAGATATATTACAGCATCCACATGATGCTTTTCATCCACAGCCA